GGGTCGGGTCACGGCCGGACGAGCCCGCAGGAGTCTGACATGGCTCACTGCCACTGTGCTGGATGCGGTCGCACTAGCAGGGTGCAGTGCTCGGCTGGGTTTTTTTCTCCATCTACATTTTAGCAACATTGTCTTTGCATCTAGGGCTTTCGACTACGTCCACTGTGATTTGAATAGTAGGTTATAAAGGAACTCACTGTGTTAGCCATATTAACTTTCCATCACACAAGATTTTATACAGAAAAGCCCAAGTGTTAATCTCACATGAATTTAAATTCAGTTAGAGGCTAGGTTTGTTTAGCAATTCACTGTAGCTAGAAAAACTACTCCTACTTAAAATAATACATGCAGAAGAAAATAAATAATGTGAACACCACCAATCTGAAGTAACTATGCACCTTCTTACTGTTTGTATTATAAAAACCAGACAACAGCAAAAAAAATCCCATTCATGATCTCTGAGGTCTGGCAAGGTGAGTACGTCCAGTGTACTGCCTCAGTCCTTAAGTGCTTCATAAAATAAGGCAGAGACAATTGTACCATTTCTCTTCCTTTCACTAAAATTTGAATCTGTTGGCCAATAGCAACCAAAGTTTACAAAGGATAGATGTTCCATGAAAACAGCTTCCTAATTAAAGCAAAGATACCTTCAACAGTATCTTGCTAGCCATATTAAACAACAATGCAGAAACAATCTCATTTGTGCATGTCCGCGTAAGTGCCTTCCTTGTCTGCTTTTAAAAGTAATAATATGCAGTTGTCAAAAAATAACCTCACAACCTTTAGGAAGGGGCTGGAAGAATGCACTTTCCCTATCAACAGTTCTAAGTTCAGAAAAGTTAAATCATTTTTAAGTCACTTTGCTTGTTGCTCAACCACACTAGTGTATCCTATCAAAACCAGAGTGACACAAAGAAGCGTGGGGCAGGCAGCTATGGCTCACAAGTGGCAGGCACTTCCTGGGGTTCTACATGAAATGTATCCATAATGGGAACACAAAATGTTTAATTTTGACACCTGATGATGACTGACTTCTCAAGTTCTCAGAAGAATCCTGCTCTGGGTGACCCCAATTCAGAATACATGGCTATCAGCCATTACCCCCATAAAAACCAACAGGGTTAAAATGGTGAGAGCTGTGCCCTCAGGCCAGAATAAGCCCTGCAGTTACTCTCCTGGTCTCCAGCGACTCACAAACACAGGAAGTTGCTCTGACAAGCTGAAGTAAGTCTTACGGCACCAATGACGGAAGGGCACAGGATGTTTCAGGTGTGTGTTTATTTATTTGCTATGCATACAACGGGTGTGAGGATGGTGGGCAACTTGTGCTGTAAACATCAGCTTCCCTGAAACAGACACCAGAGGTAAGCTTTCCTGCCCTCTTTCACTGTTCTCTGAAGGAAATCATACAGTCCAGCCACTCTGTAGCTGCATACCTCTGTGACAGATACCACTGGGCTTGGCACATGCAAGCATTTTGATTAGTACACTGGCAGTGGAATGAATATTCCATAACAAAGAATGAGCATCTTCAAAATGAAAGTATACATTTATCATGAAAAAAGCAAAGCTAACAGTAAAAAATAAAGGCAGTAAAGGTGACTAACCCTCAGCGTGATCTTTGCCACATCCTCTGCAGCTTGTTTTAAATCCATTTCTGGGTTTGGCTGTAGACTGTCCTGCTTAGAACCTTTTCTCTTATAAATCTGATACCTGTCAGTGATACTGTGTAATCCTCCATGAAACTTGCCCCATTGCTGTGTGTGGAGTCCTGAAATGGATTAACTCGATATAAATTTAACTTTTGGGAGGAAGAAAATTCAAATTTAGCTAGGATGGTGTAATAAATTGCTATCCTCCTACCTCCCAGCACCACCATCTGGGTCATTATTTTGCTTAGCCTGCTATTGAACCTGATACAGATGTGACTGAATGTGTAAGGGAATGCACTTTCAGAAATCTATCTTACACAGCTATGGAAACTGCTATTAATTTCTTGTATGTTGAAAAGCTTTTGTTTTATTATACATTCACTTGTCTTACTGTAACAGTATTCTAACTTTAGTCAAATAGTCTTCAAAACCAGATTCAGGGCATTACCTCCAGCTGGAATTTTAATTCTTAAGTTTTTCAATATATACTTAGGCTTAATCCAATACTGGATGATTTTTGAGCTTTGTTTTTTCATTCCACAATTAGACTGACACTAGAAGAGTTTCCACCCAAAACACAAAATAATTTTTAAACAAGATTTCCAACACAGAAAGATCCCCCCCCTCCTCCTCCCACCCCCAAGTTTAACATGTAACATCAGAAGACTGAAATATACTAAAATTGTTTTTAGTATATACCACGCTAGAGTAAAGGCATGCAAAAAATCCCTTGGTTTTTCAGTACTTGAAAGGCCCTTGGATCTACCCATTACAAAAACATACATTAATAATTTGGCTTGCTTTTAGCCTAAGCTAATATTTAGCTTAGGAGTGAAACTCTGATTTCATGTAAACAAATTATCCTGAGTTTCAGAACGTCAAACAAGCATGAAAAAGGTTCATGAAATATCTATGAAATTTGTTTTCTCTTTCTGAGACTTTATCTTTGCTCATACTTTAATACAGTTTTTCTAAGAGTAAAATACACAGCGAGGATGTATATACTTCTGAACCTACTTCTGGTAAAAGCTGTTTATTCCAGAATTTGAAGCAGAGATGGTGAGTTTACTGCCTAAAGCAGAGCAAATAAAAAGTGTCTTATTTTTTTCAGAGAAATTGACTGTGACTGTCTGTTCCTGCCTCCAAACTGAGCTGTGCATCCTTAAGTATATTTGAAAATTATGACCATATTTATACAAATTTTTAACTACCAATTAACTTCTTTCGTTGATTATAGTGAGTTTTGTCAATACCAGACATTTTTACTGCAAGTGAAATGTTCAGACTATAGACAGTAGAAATTCAATATTTCATTGTAAACAAGAAACATATGCTATACCAACCATGGGTTTTTTCAAGAGGTACAATATGAAAATCATTGCTTTAGAAAGCACCAATTTAGAAAAACTAATTATATTGTGCTTTTAGAAAAGCTCACAATTTTCTCAACATTTTAATGATTATATCCAAAACCAGTATTAGAATCACATTTCAGATGTTAAGATGGCTTAAAACCATCTTCTTATTTTTCTATGAAGAACTTGCTCTGAGATCTTCTGATTTTTTCCAGGTCTTCATAAGTGAGTGATCCTTTTGGCAACTCTAGCAAAGTACTTTGTGTGTCCAATATATTCTCTGCTTCACCTTTGGGAAAAAAAAAAAAAAAAGAAATTAAGTAAATTTCCTCACATTTGCATTGAGAAAGCATAGAAAGTAAAAATTAAAAAAATAAAACCAAAGAAAGTGATCTAGCTATTCTTGTTTTGGACAGAACAACAAAATATTGGGTCAAGCTATGCATTTTACAAACAAGATGATGTCAATGTAGCATTAACGTTGTCTTTAAATAATTTTGGACTGGTGGGAAAACTGCATATGGAAGTGTGTGGTCTGAAGTGACTGTGTGCCTCATGCTGCATATGTTTGAAAGAACTTCAGCCAAAGCAGTCAACAGTGCTGGTGTTGTTACCATTTCTGTTAGCCCCTTTCTCCTAAAACTACACTGAGTTACAGTAAAGTTTCATTTTGAGATTTATTATACAGGTGCCCTGGAATGGAGGCATGGGACTTAGCAGTCCAGCAAGGGCTTGGCATCACCATGCACTTTGTACCAGCCCCATACGGCAGTTGACCAAGTAGGAGTCTGAGAAGAAGGTGGATCAGACATACATGTAAAAGTGCACATAAGCTTTCACAAATAAACTACCTGCACACAGTATCCTAGATGTGCCATATCTGGGCATGATTTTTCTTCTCCTCTGGGGTCTAGGCTGAAAGACGCCAGGCTCAAGACAGAAAGTGGGTAATGCAGGACTTGAAGGAGCAGTGGTCAAAGCAGACTGCTCACAATAAGATTTGCTAGGACAGTTCCCTAACCACACAGTCTTAACAGCAAAGCAGGGGAAAGCTGCCGGGTGCAGAATGCTCTGGGTAAGGCTGGAATGAAAACATCTAGGACGGAGAATCCCTAAAAACAAAGACACAGACTGAACATCATACTTAAGTTGTGGTGGTCTGACTGTGATATAAGGAAGGTTGAAGATTAGCAAAGAATGTGCTTGTTTTGGCTGATGCCATTTGGTACAATGCCAACAATTTTGTTATTACCTAGCTTGATGATCATTGCGGCAATGATTTGAAGCTGTATTTACGTGCAATAAACCTAACTGAATAGTGTAATGCATTCAAGATCGTAGTGATTCTTCAAAACAAGTCTGAATGCTGAAACCCAGCTGCCGTTTTGGTAGTGTTACAGCGCTTGGGATCCCCACACACCAGTAACATCCAACAGGACAACACTGGCTACCATGCCCAGTAACTGGTACTAACACCATGTCAGTCAGCTGCATATAGTATGGGATTGTGGAAAAGCAAGGTATCTTAGATGACAGAGAGATGTTACAGACAGTCAAATGTCTACGCCTGTCACCCTCATGCCCTAGACCAGATTGCCCAGTCGCCATATCTATCAGATGGCTTAGGATACAAGGAGTCAGCTAGCTAAATCTTGAAAAGGCAGCCAGCGTGGAGGTAGCCATTGCCTAGTGGAGAAGTTCTGTGCCGCTGGAGGCTGCCTATATAATCCCTCCCCTCTTCTAATCATTTGTCTGAAAAACAACCACAGTATGTACCTTGACTGGGAGGAAAAGCAGAACAGCAAGGCCAGGAACACAGATAGCGGGTCCATGACTGATTCTTAGTGTCCTCAGCCACTCAGAAACGATAGTGCACCCGAGGGCTGTTCTGTAATCCTGCTGTCCCCAGGAGATTCAGTTCCGATACGTGGCCCTGGCATACTCACAGGTTCTCAACAGCGCCAGCAGAACTCAAAACTGCCATTTCTCCCTGTCTCTTTGGTTTTTGCTTTCATTACTTAAGCTATAAAGCAGGGAAAAAACCTCTGATTTCAGTGCAGGAGAATAAGCAAGTCATGAGAAAATGTTTGGACAGCTAGGCTAGAGACAGAAGAAAAGATTAACTGCAAGCACGATCAGAGACAAAGTGCCTGGTGAAAGAGAATAGAGAACCCTTCCAGGGGTATAAACTGATTCCAAAGAATGAAAGACAGCAGATGCAGGACTATTTGATCAAGGTGGTTCGGATACAGGGAAGGCTGCACAGCACGGAAATAACAGCAGATTAGCTTAGAAGAGGGAACAGGCTGTGAGGCTGAAGACAGGCATATCCTGGAGGAAAGAGATCACTGAAAAAGGGAACAATAAAGGCAATGGTGTATACACTCATGACACCACGGGGAGGAAGCATGGCATGCACCAACAGAATACAAGGGCAAGCAGAGAAGTGTTTGGGAAAGTCGTATTGGAGCAGACACAGGGATCAGCTGAGTAATAAGAAAAAGCATTGTGGCTGCAGGTCAGTTGTGTCATAAAACCTTCTCTTCAACTACTTAATTTTAATCTTAAAATGAAAATGAATGGCTGATCCCCATTTCCACTTAACTACAAACCTTATTCTGATTTCCAGCCCAGATTCATTCAGGCTAGTCCACTTCCTTTTATTCTACTGCTGATATTTGTAATTAGCTTAATTTCCTTCTCTTACTTTCCTTTATCCTGTCCTGTGAGTAGGATCTGTAGACCCAAATCTCTCATATCTTTTTACAAGGCTGAACAACCTAATACTTTTGCTTTGTCTCGCAAGGCAGCTTACCATACCCTAATAATTTTAGCTTTTCAGTAATTCTAGATTCACTATGCAGAAGTGATCCAAATTTTGTCTAAATTTCCAAGGACGGTATCACTATTTTCCTGCATCAATACCTTCCTATCTGTACAAGGTTATGGAATATCCATCCCTGGAAGTATTTCAAAAGCAATTTAGATATGTTCTTGGGCAACTGGTTCTAGGTGATCCTGTCAGGACTACCCCAGGTGACCTAGGATACCACATTGCCCTGTGGTATCTGCACCTACATGCAGCAGGAAACATCCGAGGGTTAGTCTAATCAATCTATCATTATTTTCAATCTTAAGGCTAAGACCAAGGGCTGAAATGAAGTTTTATTTTGTTTCAGTATGTTTGTCAACAGCAGACAGGAAAATCAAGCTTCTGAACTGAGCCGATTTGTGAAGGTGACAAGCCACGGCCCGATGCTGTCTTCACATACCGTGAACATCTCTTAGCACATCTCCTTCAATAGGGATCAGAGCTAACATAAATACACCTCTGCAATCCTCAACACCCATCACATCTCCAAGTAGCAATTATGAGGCAAGACCCCACTGTCTGGGACTCACCTTTCTTTTTTTCATCTTAGCAGGGCACTGTGGGGAGATGACTGTGTTTAGTTGTGATAGTACAGAGGCAAGGTTCTTGTCTGTATCCCTTTATCTACCCTTCTCATCCCTGTTTTGCCAAAATAGCAGCATCAGAGTGGAATACTGAAGACACTGACTAGATCTGTCACTTCCCCAGATACACAATGTTTACTTCAGCTGATTTATAGCCTTAGAATTCACTTTTTTTTAAAAACAAGAGAGAAGAAATTAACAGTCTTAACTTACGGGAAATGCTGTAAAAGTCAAGTGAATGCTCCTGACTAGGAAAGTATCCGATTGTAATAGAGAAGGAAGGAAAGAGTAAGATTTTTGTTAAAAATAAAAAAAAAAAAAAAAAAAAAAAGAGGAAGAAAATCTATTGCATGTTTTCTCCCAGCCATTCTCAAAAGCTGACCTTATTTGAAATATGAAGTTTTGTTCTATGTGTGAGCCATACAGACTTACACACGCATACCTTTCATCCTTTGCAACAATGTTCCATAGCCCATATCATATTGATAGGCTAATATAAAGCTTAAAGGAACTATGGGTAGTAAAATGCTTGGGTTCTTCTTTCTTATTGCTCTGTTAAGAAAAAAAAGAGAAAGAGAGAGAAAGGGGAAAAAATATAAATTTTAGAACACTCAGTACATCAGCACTGTTTGTTTAGGTTGGCCTTAACTGTCTAGGACTTGTGTATCCTAAAATCTCTAATCACAGAAGAACTAATCTTAATTTCCCTAGAAACATTTGTCTTTCAGTTGCTCTCTTGCACAACTATAAGCCTAAGGATATTAAAAAAATGCTTCAAGTGAGTTTTGACTGTATCTAACAAAATTAGGATTATCTAACTCATGTAGCATGCGTGTGCACATGCATATATATATATATCCATCCAGACACACGCAACATATAGCAATTAAGATACTATGTTGAGTTCCAACTGCACCTGAGTCCACAGAGAACACACAATGCAGAAGGTGAATTTAATCCGCACTGTGCACACAAACCCACAAATATTTCCTACATTCTCTCTAATCATGTTATAGCATAAGAGAAATGTATTACCAAAAAAAGTCCTATAAGGCAACTTCTTCCCCATGTAATATAGCTTCATTAGCCAGGGTTTTTTCCCCTTGGGTGAGTTTCTTTATTGAAATTTAAAGTGAAAAGATGATGGAGGATTTGTTGCTCTCTAATAGTTCACCAAAATCACAATACAGACAAGAAAATAGCATGGCTTTTAAATAAAGTCTCCTGTTCCACACACAACTCTTATTTTACACTGAACTTTTGGTACTTCAGCTGTATCATCATTAGCTCACATATCTCTTCTTTTATATAAGTCTGCAGTGGAGACATAACCAAAGCACATCTGGAAGCAGACAAAAGTCAGAGTCTCTTTGTCATTTGACCAACCTCCAAGCAGCTGCTGGATAAAAATAACTGTCTGTTATAATGCAAAAGAAAGACCCAGCAATATAGAAATATAAACATAGTACTTTCACATTTTCTATTAGGAAATAAGCTTCATACCCAGCTGTTAAACCTGCAGCAGCAAGTCCAAAAAATGTCCCAAAATATTTGAGAAATTCTCGTGTCCAAGCAATCTGCATAGCTGTTTGTCTTTCTCTCATCTGGTTCTGCATCACTAGTTGTCTTTCCAGCTGAAAAAGGGAAAAAGGTTAAACAAAATTAAGTCATCCGTTTATTTTAAAGACTGACTCAATCTCTCATTGGTCTATAAATCCAAAATGCTAATGTTCTTTTATTTCAGTCATGTACAGCTTTTGCTTGAGAATAGTCTTCAGCAATAACTCAGAATAGTTTATACCAAGAAAGCATTAAGGTCAATTAGCAAATGCTTTGATGCAGAATCTTTCCAATGCTGCTTCTCAGAGTAAAGAAAACCAAACGACCAGGGTTAGGTTTTGAAAGCTCCCCAAGTCTCAGCAGCGCTCCCAGGTTAAGGTTCTCTGACCTCTGCAGTCCGTGCCGATTCAAAGGGTACAATCTGTTTTGCCCTCTAATTGCCATTTATTCTGCTTGATTATAATTTAGATGGTAGTATCTTCTGATGGTAATATCTTAGATCAACCTTAACACCTCTTTGCCCTTTGAGGATTCCTCTTCTTTGTAATGTATCATAAAGCTAATAACTCTTTTGAAACACCATAGTTTACAAATACAGAAAAAACACTGCTCTGGTGAGACCCCACCTGGAGTACTGCATCCAGTTCTGGAGCCCCCATTACAAGAGGGACTTGGACCTGCTGGAGTGTGTCCAGAGAAGGGCCACCAGAATGATCCGAGGGCTGGAGCAGCTCTCCTGTGAGGACAGACTGAGAGAGTTGGGGCTGTTCAGTCTGGAGAAGAGAAGGCTCCGAGGTGACCTTATTGTGGCCTTCCAGTATCTTAGGGGGGCCTACAAGAAAGCTGGGGAGGGACTTTTTAGGCTATCGGGTAACGACAGGACTAGGGGGAATGGGGCAAAGCTGGAAGTGGGCAGATTCAGGCTGGATGTGAGGAAGAAGTTCTTGCCCAGGAGAGTGGTGAGACCCTGGAACGGGTTGCCCAGGGGGGTGGTTGAGGCCCCATCCCTGCGGGTCTTTAATGCCAGGCTGGAGGAGGCTCTGGGCAGCCTGATCTAGTGGGAGGTGTCCCTGCTCATGGCAGAGGGGTTGGAACTGGGTGATCCTTGTGGTCCCTTCCAGCCCTGACAGATTCTGATCTGTTTTAGCAGAGGACTTTAGAGCCCTAATGGCTCAATGGTTGCCACTTGATGATCTTGGAGGTCCCTTCCAACCTAAATGATTCTATGATTCTATGATATCAGATATGTTAAAGATGCTGGAATATGTATCAAAAGTCCATAAGAAAATACTTCTGTAACTAAAATTAAAAACAACAATGCAAAACCAACTTAGAGGGTATATGAACACACCAAAGTAGAACTTTCTATGGTACTTAAGAAAAAAGCACGCTATTAGATGATTTTTTTTTATAATTACATACCCCATCTAAACATACAGCTACATTTCCATTGAATAAAAGTAAATTTAGTATTTCTTAAAATTTCTTCTCTACTGTACAGAACACCAAAAAGAACAGTGGTCTCTCCTCCTTAGAGTGACTTGAAAAATAAGAACTGTGCCAAAAAGTGGCATTTTGAAACCAGACTACAGGAGTTAGTTAAGACAATAAGAAGTGTCCTTCTTCCCATTAATGTTTGTAACTCATGTTTTGGTAAAAAAAGAAATTGGTATGTGTAGCCTAGTTAGCTGAGTTGCATAGAAAGTCCAACAAGGTATAGGGAACAGAATACTAGCTGACTGAAAAAGTGTATTCCAGAAAAGAAAGAACAAGGAATGAATTCAGAAAGTTCTCCTCTTATGCACCTCTAAAAGTAATTAAATCTATTATTTTCTCATGCCTTCTAGTTCAGGAATAATTTAATATATTTGTAATCACTCAAGGTTTCCACCCATTTATTACTATTCCATTACTATTGATTTAGACCAAGCAGAACAATTTCTCTTAAATTGTTACTAATTATTTCTTCAGACTATGTTGATCTTGCTATCTTATTTACAAGCTCATTCAGTACCTAGATAGGTAGAATTAATTTTTTAGACAACATAATAAAAAAAGGACAGATCTAATTACATATAATTGTACACAGTAGGAAAAACAACATTCACTTTGTGTAGTCTCACAATAGTTTAATCTGTTTTGCTTTCCTCAAGACTTACGTTGCAATTGGTGTTCTCACAGAAAATATCAACAGCCTCTACTTTCCTGATACCCATAATTTTCAGATTGCTTTTTTAAGAAGTAATTATATAATGGCTATAAATTATATAATGGCTGACAAACCATACCAAATGGCTAACAATAAAATATCCAAATAATTAGATTTTATTTTGTCACCTATGGCACACTTGGTAATTCTAAAGTAAACAAGCACACTGCCCACTAATTAGCCCCATTGTGATCCCAAATACCCTAAGCCTGGTAAATTGCTGAGGGTTGATATGACAAGATAAAATAATGACAGGTAATATCAATTTAATTACCTCTATTTTTCCTTTGATTTGATTGTGTGTGTACTTTGCACATGTGTGAAAAGTATTAAGGGATCCTTTGTTTGTCTGGCAGCACAGATACAGAGCCTACGCTTCCAAGGTGCACAGTACTGCCCTAAATGAGCTTCAATTTGAGGCAGTACACAGGGAGGAAGTGGGACAAGGACATTCTGATGAAATGTAGGTGTTGTTAAAAGAAAACTTTATGGGGAAGAAGAAAAACAGGCAGTTGAATATGCACAGGGTGTAGAAAGAAGTAAGCAGGAAAGCAAAAGCTGGAAGTTTAAATCTATGAGAGTAAATCACAGGATCCTAACACAGAATCATAGAATCATTTAGGT